AAGTGGGTGAGAACAAAAGCAAGAAAGTAATAGTAAGAAACTGTGAAAAGTACCTTTATTATTTCAAAAGATCAATGTACAATTACTGTACTTATTCTTATATAGCGTTAAAAGTAAAGGTGCAGAACTGATATATATGTTGATTTTCTGAAGCTCTAAGGAATCTTTATATTCTACAATGGTGAACTTTCTAAGTTGAAACACACATATCATTAATATATATCCAAGGATCTCTTTTTCTGCGCTCTCAGCTACTATTTATTTCTTCAAATGCCTCAAAAATCACTTAATTAACCTACAAAGGCTTGGTTGGATACTTTTGTCAGCCAACTCCACCTTAAAAAAACCTATCACCCAAGTGTCAAAAGATTTATAAGTCATGGAATAAAAAAACAGACTTTGTTGTTGAAGAGTTTATGAATTAAATTGATTGGATCCATTAATTAAAATTAAAAAGAGCAGTTTTCTGTTCTTTTAATCTAATCCAAGTTTCACATAATAATAACAATAACAGGCATTTTAAACATACAGAGATTAAATAACCTGATTTTCATCCAAGTTTGAAAAATGAAGAGAATGGAAACACTTGTAGATAATTTTTTACTTGAGATTTTCCAGAGTATACTTATTGTACCTGCATGTCTATTAATCAAACATTACATTTAGAGAATACCTGCTCTGTGCTCATCCATCAAGGGCTTTTTCTCTGCATTCTTATTCCTCAATTGTTCATTAATTAATTCAACAAGTACTACTTAGAGCCCAGAGCCCATGTTGTGCTGAAGGACTGTTCTAGGTAATGAAGACACAGCTGACATAAGGCAAACAAGGTGCTACTCTCAAGGAATCTAATTCTACTATGGGGAAAGATGAAAAGACAATAAACAAATGGAAATGATTTCAGACAGTAATAACTCAATTAAAATTTACTGTAGAGTAGCAGAGTAGATGCTAGGGTGACTTGGGGGAATCACTTTAGACATCTGACAGAGAAAGGTCTCTCTCAGGAGACAATATTTGCCCCAAATAGACAAGATGGCGCCAGTCATGTGAAGAGCAGAGGGAACAAGTACCAAGACCCTAAAGTGAGAAAACACTTAGAGAATCCAAAGCACACGAAACAGGCAATGCACGTAGTGTCCAACAGTGTACCGTGAATTGGAGGGAGGTGTTTTGAGATGAGACCAGACATTGAGCAGAGGATATATCTCTGCCAAGGACTCAGGCAGCCACTTCAAGACTTGTTCTGTCTTTAGAGTCAGCACAGAACCAGCTTGTGGAACAAAGGTCAGTATTGCCTCAGATACCGGTATTGTTGGCACTGCAGATATCCTCTTCCACATGTATGAACTGTTCATAAGTCTTTATCTCTTGAGTCCTTATCTCCTGAGTGGTTCACTTGGCCTTTGGACCCTTCTCTTGCACATTTTCTCACTGCTTTCCATACCTACACATCTGCTGCCTGATCTCTGACCTGGCATTTGTTCTGACCCTAATTTCTGATTTAGACTTGGAGTCTGGCTGGGTGTGGTGACTCAAGCCTGTAATCCCAGCACTTTGGGAGGCCGAGGTGAGAGGACTGCCTGAGTCCAGGGGTTCAAGATCAGCCTGGGCAACTTGGTGAGACATCATCTCTACAATAAATCAAAATATTAGCCAGGCATGGTGGTACGCACCTGTAGTCCCAGCTACTTGGAAGGCTGAGGCGGAAGAATCGCCTCAGCAGGTCTAGTCTGCAGTGACCGTGAGCATGCCACTGCACTCCAGCCTGGGCAATAGAGTGAGACTCCAACTTAAAAAATAAAATTAAAAATAAGAAGACCTGGAGTCTACATAACTTTGGTGGTCTGAGTGCTTAAATTTGCAACAACTCCTTACTAATTCTTAATAGACTTTACTGTTTCTTTACCAGACCAGACACCAACACTGCTGCAATGTTATTATTTTTCTGAATATGTACAGTGGGCCCTCTGTATCCTTGGATTCTCCATCAATAGATTCAACCAACCATGGATAGAAAATATTCAGAAAAAAAATTCCAAAAAAATAAAATTTGAATTTACCACATACCAAGTACTACATTGAATTCATGCAAATGAAGTGATATATGGGAATTATAAGTATTCTAGAGATGATTTAAAGTATACAGGAGAATGTGAGTAGGTTATATGCAAATACTATTCCATTTTATATATGGGGCTTGAGCATCTTAAGGTTTTATTATCTGCAGGGACCCTGGAACCAATCCCCCCATAGATATCAAGAGAAGACTGTATTGTGTTTTCAACTTTTAAAAATATTGTCATATACTTTAGCATTGTGGAGTGTGTCAACAATCTCCATGAAGTAGCTATTTAATTACCATTAGTTCATTTTAAAGATAAGGAACTCTAAAGTCAAGGGTAAGCTACTGAGAACCCAGGAAGCCTGCTTTCCCATCTCCCTTTTTGGGGGGGTAAGGAAGGTCTCTTGCATTCTGGGCATCTTGGGAGAGAAAATCCACAGATGATCTGCTAATTATACAGAAGTTGAAGACAAGACACAAATAAATTTAGGAGGGACATAGAAAGGATCCCTTCCCTTCTCCTCAACTTTTTTCATACTTATGTATTTCAGTTGACTTTTATTTGTAACATTAGGCCATCAGACAACATTGGCAGCCCCATGCATATACTAGACCACAGTGCATACACTAGACTATAGTGCAGAGATAAATTAGTACAAAATGTACTTCCAAAAAAGGGAGCAAAAAGAGAACAGGTAACTTAATTGGTAATTTTGGGAGGAAAAAAAACCTGAGCATATTCAGCTGAGCTGCTCTGAGTTCTTTCCTTCAGTTTTACCTAACCCCAAACACCATAATTCGTAAATGTTGGATAGCCTAGATAACTTTCATTCTAAAAGCTCGATGTTCTGTGGTCTCAGTTTCAAATATGTATCTTTCAGATAACCATGTTGTCAAAAATTCAATCCACTATTAAATGCCAGCATTTTCAGATAAGTCCAAACGAGAGACAAGAGAACGTCTTAGGGAAAATAACAGAAACAATTTTCTTACTGGTTCAATATTAATCAAAACTCTTCAATAACATTCTTAAAATAAATGGAAAAGTGACAGAAGAGATTAAAAACTCTCAGGTGTCATTCATCCTTCAGGTAGATCAATTAGGCTCATTGTAGCTTATGGTGTGTGGTAGCTGCAGTAGAATGCTTTTCATACCATTCTTTAAACATCTAAGGTTCTTATTAAGATGAGATTCTAGCCATTTCTATTAAAAATTCATGCCTCTTTCCAAGAGAACTATTTTGACCTGTTATTTCTGGCTAAATTTGTGGGCGTTCTTCTTCTCCACCCACTCCTGCACATACTTCAGGGAAATAGACTTTAATAGCTAGTGACTTAATTGAAGTATACCTAAAGATGTTAAGCAAAAATAACACTATGCAATTCTGGTTAGAACACAAATTTGCTTAGAGGTGAATATTATACAAAGTAAGTGCAGTAAGTTTTGAAGGTTGTATTGTCCCTAGAATATAATTTAGTGGATTGGAAGCAGAAATTCACAGCTAAAAAATTTAGTAAAATATAATACAGTTAATCTATATAAAGTCACAACTTTCCCAATAGGAAAAAATTACTCCTATATTGTTTCCAGACAGGCATTTAACATTGTGTAAACATTGCATAACTGCAGGTTCAACAGAGGATCTGGCCCCTCCTCCACCAAGACCACCCTTCACCTTTCCACACACCCCTGGGACAGCACAGGAGCACCTCTGGGGACTTGTGCACTAATAGAGGGCATCTGGACTACTGTCTGCCAGGTGGCAAGCTTGCTGGGGGATGTATCTATCCTCGATGGGGAAGCTTCTGAGTTGTTCAACTTTGTCCATGATGGGTGAGTAAGTTTACATCAGAAATAAAATATTAGAAATACCATTGTTACCACAGCTAAGTTTTATTGGCAATACAGTTTTTTTTTTAACTTCCTTTGAGAAATATGGCAATCTCTCTCTTAAAATATTTTCTTATATGCACCCAGACTTCTCACGATTGATTTGACAATTTTACTATGTCATTGCCATAATTTTCTTCTAGAAAAAGTGATGCTCAATATTTTTGCAAAAAGACATGGAAATAAATTCAGTATCACAAAGATCACATAGAAGATCATTCTCATACTTAGCTATAAGCACACAGATGACACTTAAACAATAAAAGAAGTCTCATGCAAACATACCTTATTTGAAAATGTATTTGATTTTTTAAATCCTAGTTTCACTAAAAGTTTTAAAGTATTCTTTTAAAAACCAAGTTAATTGATAGAAGACATTAATACTTTTGTGCATAATAAATTTCATGTGTAGGGTCCTCAGTTGAAATTATATTATCATTGTTTTGAGTTGTACTGCTGTGTGTGTGTGTATGTGTGTGTGTGTGTGTATGTAAAATAATGTGCAACTGAGGCTATAGCATGACAGTGCCAAAACAACTGGCCAAAAAGTGAAAAATTCAATCATGACAGTTTTACTTATATGTTTCCCTGATTACACTAGTTGATTTGGCTTGGCATTTTATATGTACTCATTAAACTGTTGTAAACAAAGGTGTGGTATTATAATAACATTTAAGCCAATAACTTCTGGTGTTTATAGTAATGAACTATCAAATACACAAAGTCAAAAATATTTAAAATTCTGACTAAAATAAACGAATTTCATCTCTGAAACAAAGGTTACTGCCTTTTGCAAACATTCACCATAGGAAAAAAAATTTAGAAAATATACTCATATAATTGTGGTCCTACTTTTTAAAAATGAGAGACTGGAGAGGAAGAAAATAGAGATTCTCTTCCTGATAAAACGTTTTCACTTTTCCCAAAAGTTGCTGATAAGGTGTTTGTGTGGACACACACACACACACACACACACACACACACACACACACACACACACCACTCTTCCCCCAAGCAGATTCCCAAGATCTCCAATTTTATTACCTGTTTTTGAGCAGTACACTGAAGGTCATCCTATCCAGTCCCAGATAATTTGGCAGCAAGTTTGCCCAATTCCAGTTCCACTTTGTGATGGCTGACTGTTGATAAATGAGAAGACACTATTGTTAGTTATTAATCAGAGTTAATATGATCAGTAAATTAAGGCTCCAGCTGTGATAGACTAACTAAGAAGGAGGGGGGCCCAGAACAAGGACTTAGACAGATAGCATCAATCATGTCTACAGAAGAAGGTTTTTATTCCAATAAGACAGCAATTAATTTATAAATCCATTTGGGGATGTAGTCATTATTTATAAAAATATAAATCAATTTCTTGAGTCGTTATTCTTCCAAGTGTTAATGGCATTTGCCCAACAAGTTTCTCTGAGAAGGCGACTCTTAGAAAAACAAAGCAAAATAATTGGCAACTTTTTTGTATATCATTTCAATTTATAGATTGGTATTTTTTAGCAACCAAAAGTTTGATTATAAAAACAAATTTGGCAGCACTAAGAATCAAATTAAAAGATACAGCTTACTTAGAGTGTGAAATATTAATATTATGTTTTTGGTTAAGAAAGTGCTTTAAAGGGAAGAGCTTAATAAATGATTCTTTTTTCTCATTAATAAATAATTTTACAACAGAGTAAGGAGAAAAATTGCTGTGAAAGAGAATCCCACAATTCAGAACTCAATAAAACATGGCATTTATTTAAATGAAGTAAGGAACATTTAACAACTACAATAATTATTTATGGTTTGGCGTGATCTAATGTACAACACAGGAAAGCAGTCAATAAACTCAAACTTAGACAATGTATTCGGTTTTAAAGCATTATAGATGCATGTGTTCCTTAAAATGAACTAGTTTTGATAGCAAGAGTCCAGACTGATGTTTAATATCCAACAAGAGCTATCCCCTGTCACCTACTGATTAATCGAGCACTACAATCCTGTCATAGAGCAAGAGAATTCTGCCCCGGGTTGTCAGCATTTGAAGGTCTTACTCTACTACAGTATTGATGAATGTAGACCAGAGCTGTAACAGGCATGGTAAAAATATTATCTGCATGCTGAATTAGGCCATTGTTTTAATTCTTATTTTCATCAGAGCTCTAGGTCAAGCAATCCTTCTCTTCTGCCCTGCTAGTTCAGATTGTCTGTCAGGAGGTTTCTGGAAAAAGCTACCAGAAGAATGAACAAAGCAAAAGCAACTTTAGATTTCAAATACTTTGGCAGAGAGATGATCTTTTTAGTGTAACTACTGAAACATGCAGCTTAAACAAATAGCATAATCTGACATTAAAAAATGTGTGGTGTTTATCACATTGACTTTATTCCAAATAGCCTGGCTTTAAGGTCATTTACAAATTTGTTTTAAATTTGGGAATGTGTCTAAGGTTATCAAGAAGGAAATTCACCCCATGGCACTTAAAACAGGAGCTCAGTGCTTTATTTATAATTAATTTTAGCATTTTATAATTTGCATAACACCTTCATAAATATCGCAAGGTGTTTTGTAAGTGTGTGTGTTGGTGGACAGGGGTGGCAAGGTGTCACAAATGCTTGGTTCTTCTGATAGACACAGACTAACAGACATTCCCTCTGCCCATTGCAAACTGACCAAAAGTTAAGTTTTGCAGACCAAACATACGAATCAGTTGGACAAATAGAAAGACGATAAACTAACTTAAAAGTAAATGTAGGTAGTCCAGAAAATTAGAATAAGTCCTTTTGCTTCTTAGCAAAAATACTTTATAAGCAAATATTCAAACACAAAACATTTTTTCCTTCTTACTTGTGTAAAGAAACCACACATTCAAATTAAAGTTATCATGTAATTTCCACATACCTGATCCAGCATGTTTTCACAAAACACCTTATACACATGGAAAGGGTTAAAGTCAGAAGGCTGATCTTCCATACTTCTCAAGGTCATCTTTAAAGGTTGGATGGGTAATGGCTTTTCCTCTGAACCATTCATAGAAAACAGCTGTTCTTTTAAATATTCCTCCAAGGGGAAAAAATGACAAATTGTGATGGTGAGAAGCATATACTCTCTTTACAAATAAACTGATCAATATCCAAATTTATCCTTTTAGCACATTTGCCAGATTACAGTGTATTGCTTGCCTCAGGAAGAAGACATTTTCAGAAGATACATAGCAGAATTCCAATCAGGACTGCAATAAACCCATCAAAAATAGGTTTACCTAATAGATAGACTAGATTAGAAAGTCATTTAACTAACATTCATATAATGGATGTATGCTTGATACATCAGGGTCTTTTAAATAGGCATTGTTTTGTCATCAGTTCATGTGCTAACATGTCTGGTTACCAAAACTTTACTCAGGTGCATGATAATGCATTGAACAAATTGCTCATTCATTCATTAAGTGTCGTTACCTACTGTAGACTCAACAGAGCGAAGTATTCTGATCTTTTACTGCAAGTAGTCTCATTCTATGCAGAATTAATTATAGTGTAAGCATTTTAAACTCTATTTTCATTCTGTGGACTACAAAATATCAAGATTCAATAAAAGCTCAAAATATGGCATTTTAAACCCCCAACTGCCAGTGCAGGCCATGGCAAAAAAAAAAAAAGCCAATCTACTGTATTATATACAGCATTTCCCACACCCATAAATAAATAAGATGAACAAGCCTAATGTATTTTATGGAACTTTTTCTGGAAGATTACAAATTAAAATGACTAAAAGTCCTCCATCAACCAGCAAATGCTTACTACTAATAAGCAAATCATTTAATAAATTTTAAAAATGCTCTCCTGATTTTTAGTGTGTCACAATGTGGTTTTTTCTTTGAGGTTGGAGTTAGGATGAAGCTCAGAATGTTAGAGTTGAAAAGGAATTCAGAGATCACCTAGAGAGCCTGTGCTACTCAGTGTCTGGTGCACAGAGTGGCAGAATGAAGCTCACCCGGGAGGTTGTTAGAACAGCAGAATCTCTGGTCCAGCTGAACAACTCTGTTAACGAGAATTCCCAGGAGATTGGCAGGTACATCAAAGCTTGAGAAACTGTAGCCCAATACCACACTCAAATGAAAGGTCAGGGGCCAAGTCTGAGGTCACACAGGGGTGACAGGTAGAAGTCACATATATGGAGTGAGAAGTCACATATCTAGTCTCAGTTCATTGTGCTTTTCCTGTGTCTCTAGAACCTTATGGATGCCACTATGCTCATTGTAAAAGGCAAACTTTAGATCCTAAATCCCTAAAAATCTAAAGAAACCACAGCTGAAATCAACGATAATGATCATTTCTTTACTTCTTTGTAGAGTATATCTCTTTAGAAAGAGTAATTCCATAGCGTCTCGTAGAGTGGCACACATGGACTCTTACTAAATATTATTCAGTAATGATAAAGCCATCAGAAAAGAATTTTATGCCTACATTAGACTATTGAACAGAAGCAAAATTTTTTTCCATTACAATTTATGCAAGTCAAATTTTAAAATGGAATATTCTTTCTTCATTGGGAAAAATACTTTGCTTTAGCTACCAACAATCTTTCTTAGCTGATTTTCCCTTATAGAATTACATTTTGACATTTTGTTTCCACTATTCATAAAAGGAAAAGTGCTCTGTTGCCAACTGTGAACAAAATGGTATTTTCTCCTTTGTTAATCTTTCTCCCATATTGACAATCATTACTACTTCTTCTTAAAAACCTCAGATTCTTTTACTGTGACATTGTGTTAATCAGATTTACCACCAATCAGGCTATTTCTTCAGAAGACTCTTATTCTTTCTTGAACACCTTCCCTGTGTGGCTACATCAAAGCTACCCGTCATTTCTCTACTTCTCTCCACTGAAGAGTTCCATCAGCCGATGATCTCAACCACCACACTCACTGAAGACCACCAAATCTATAGACAAGGCCTCTGATCTGTGCTCACGGCCAGGGCCTTAAGTACAATTTGAATGTTGTTGCTCTGACATCTTACCTTTACCTCAAAGACAAAGCCTCTTTAAACCCATTTTCTCTTATAAATTCTCCATCTCAATCAATGGCACACTCATTCTTCCCCTCACCCAGGCCTGTATCCATGAGTGCTTCAGTATTTATATTACATGTTCAAGAATATTTAGTAGCACATCTGAAGGTGCCAAAGACTCAGAGCACTACTCATCAAATGAGCAAACCTCACAGTGCAATTTTACCTACAGACATCGTGCTATCTCATAGTAGAAAAGTAGTCATAAGAACTATACTCTTCACTATTTACCCTTGTACTGTTTAGGTTTATTGCCTGGGATTTTATAACAGTCACAAGGCGAAGCTCTCTTACTTTTTTTGCTTCTAGTCCCACCTGGCATTCTGCCTCTTACTTTGCAATGTCATGCCTCACTCACAGAGTAAACTGCCATTACTTAGCTCTAAATCCTGTCTGACAAAGACTACTATATATTGTAAACATATGCAGATGTAACAAAAGAAAAATTGTAACTTTGAGTTTAATCGATCAAAATGTGGAGGTATGCCAGCGTAGATCTCATACGTGTTCAGAACCACTGCCTTAGAGTTATAAGTTCTATGAGGGAAGAACAACCTTTGGTTTTCCAGAATATACCAGATGACTGCTGGCCAATAAATATCCAACTTAATTTTGGATGATGTTGTTTATTGGTAGTTACTCGCCTTTTTTGTATTATAGACCTTTTAAAAATAGGAATAATCCGTTAGTTTAGCGATCAATGTCAGCCATTACCATCCTCAGTACTGTTGTAACTCCACTTAACTAAGGTTATGAGGGTTAACTATACTGTAACATCTGTTGCTCAGTATTCACCACAATTACTTTGGCTAATCTGGGTAGTCAGGGGGGCATGCCAGTGAGGACATAACTTCACAATAGAGGTCTTTCAGTTAGCCAATGTGAGGAGTTTCTGGGGTCCCCATGTAGAATACCCAAGCAAACTGTGTGCAATCATTAACAAGAGTGAATAGATTGGGTTACTTTGTAACAATTACATACAGAGATCTGGTGCCTTAAGGACTAGGTCATTTCCAATAGCTACAAACTCTCACATCCCTTTCAAGTTATCATTGTTAGATCACCGGCTTATTGACTGTTTGATTAGCTCTGTGAAATCCAGGAAACAAGATTTACTTAAAATAACTTTCAGATAGATAATGGTGGACAGTGCATTTATGTAGCTGAGTAGTAAAATGCTGTCATAGAATTTAATTCACTCCTTGGAAATGCACGGTTGTAAAGGCCTACATTATTGAGATAAAACACTATCTATTTACATTACTCATATTATACAATTTTTACTATTCTAAAAATTACATTCATGTGTTTACAAATATATAAGCATAATTACAGATGCCACATTCTAATTCAGATACATACAATCAATTAAAAACCTGATTAAGCTAGTGAACTTGTATTGTTTCAAGTAAATAGCTGAGATAACCTGCTATTTACATTCTTGCTAAAACAGCCAAAACCCTGCAAGGTCAGAGGCTTAACCGAGCAAAGAGCTAGACAGGCATAACATTGGTTTAACCAGTGTCCGTGCATTAATGAATTTTCTTGGGTTAATCTGGTTGCTCCCGAATACGGTTCAATATTCTTCTGAAGTTTTTCCCATTGAGTAAGAAGTCTCCAACTTCATCAATGCAAATATGATATCTTTAGGAATCGAGCTACGTTTGAGTCCAGAAAATTCTCCATTTTACAAAAACCAGATTTTGATATCAGTTTAACAGTCACAAACACACAATTCCCAAACTGCACCTCTAATCTCTACAATTCAGAACTGAACTGAGTTTATGAGGCATGTTATTGTTTAAACCATATAAATAAAATCTACATTGTTTCAGTGAAGCCTTTTCTGTACAAATGCAGAACAGCCGGAGTTGAATAGATTCTATTAATAATGCAATATTGAGTTTGGTATTGACTTTAAGAAGTATTATCACCTCCTTGACTAACCCTTAGCTGCCAGCAGACGCTGCCTCAGGCCAGTACACACCTAATTGCTCGGTAAAAAGGCCGTTTCCCTACCTCATTGAGCCGCATGATGTGATAAATTTGCCTCAGGTACTCGCTGCCACCTGGTTTGTGGCAGAGATCCAGGACCATCGTGTTTATTTTCTGCTCAGTCAGTTCAAGAGCAATATCTCCTTCTTCTAAGACTGTGCTTTTCTCTATTGTCGTAAATGCACTAAATACGAAGAAAGCATATATGAATATCAGTGGTGAAGAATTGTGAAGATGAAAAATAATCACAGAGACCAAGGGTGGAGAGTCTATGTAAATCTCATATTCAACGCCTTCAAAAAGACCTCACCCAAGTAGGTTAAGCCTTCTCAAACCGCTGCTACTCACGTACATGGCACTTCAAAATCAAGCACCTGAAAGCATTTTTAAAAATTAAATCGTTTCTCTTAAAACTTTTCTTTATTGCATTTATACTCCTATCTATAAAACATTTTCCCATTACTGCAATTGTTGAAATTGCAATAATCATGGAATGAAAACAAAACATTTATTTTTAAAAACAAATGAGAAATAATTTTTATTTCCTCTTTGAAGATAAAAAGTATGTTTGATGCCAGAAATAGTGCTGGCGTTTCATCTTTTGTGGCTTTCTCTTTACACTTGTGGTAGAACACATTAAAGACTAATTAAAGTGTCTAAAGGGGGAGTCTATCATACTAAATATAGGCTGGACACTTCATGGCAGTGTGCCTGCCACTGGGTATTTTAAGTTGGCCTTTGACACTTGTTGCCTTTAAAAAATAGATGACTCTTTCCTGTTTCTTTTCTGTAACAGTTATTTAGCAAAAGTCACGACTCTGATTCTTCTTTCCAGAAAAGGGTTTGCTATCACCCCTCCAAGAATGTACAAGATACCATTCTAAAATATTTATTTCTGTAGAAATCATATACTTATTGTTGATTTTGAACATTATTAACACGGTAATAATGGATTATGTTAAAATAGTAAACATTTCAAACTATACCAGTGCAAAAAAACACCCATAATATTCAACATAGATAGATAGATATATAGATAGATAAATACATAGATAGACATTCCACACTAATTTTGTTAAAATTACTGTTAGGATCATGTTAGGGTTTGCAACGTAAGTATTCTTAAGAAAACTCATGGTTTTCCACTGTTTCCCAGACTAAATGAAATTTACTGCAGTGTAATCAGCTGTATACTGCAGTTCATTACTGAGATTTTGCCATGATTATAAAATTAGTTCTGCTAAGAGTCAGTGCCGCTGACCTGAAGACTAAACCAAATGATACCCAGCTGCCGGACATTAACTTTGATATTGCTTCCACATGTAGTTTCAAAACATCCTTAAGAAAAAAAAAAAAAAAAAAGGACTTTAACATCATATAGCATATAGCCTTGCTGAAGAATAAAGAAAATCCTACTCTGGCTTAAAGATATTCATTAGCTAGTAAGATCTCTTTTTCTTTTAAATACCTTGTTACAATACAAGAAGTTTGCAAATATCTTTCTGAGACTGCATACAGGTTGCAGACAAAATTTCTTGTCAGGTTTTGTAGAGGCTGACATTGAAAAAAAGTTGGGGCCCTCTGACAAAGGAGTATCTCAGTGTCAGCTCCTGAATTGTACCCTTTCCTGTCCATCACTGTGCAGGTGAAGCAAATGATTGGATTCAGTCAATGCTATGATTAATGAGTTCCTCTCTGGATTTGGGACTGCCTATCAATCATGTCATTAGGGAGAATGTGCCCTGAAAGAGGCAGACCTTAGCCAAGGAATAACTGCATTAATCTTAATCTGTATATGCACCCAGCCAGCCAAGTCAGGGTCACCATGATGAAAAACAATAATCTTCAACTCGACAAATTACTTTGCAAAGACAGATATTTCTTTACTTTTTGGGTTGTGTGTTCTCCAGAATCTAAGTTGACTGTTTACAGCTTGAGTGTTACTACAAAGTGAAGGTTATTTTAATGAATAGTAATGCTTTCAGGCAGTATGCAAGACAGGCAACATTTACAGCTGTCACCTTTCCTGCTGCAGTTATTTTCACTATTTCCATAAAAGCAAAGTTAAATTGAGATGCAAGTGAAAGAAATCTAGCTAAATGATATCACGTAGTTCCCAGATAATCTTCTTGAGCAATTACGATTTAATTATCTTGCTGGACGAACTATTTTAGTTTAAATGCTTACATACTCATTTAAAAAAAATTAGTAAAGTCAAGGTAACCCTCTACCCAATTTAGACATCATGGTTCGAAATACATTTTTCCTCATAGTGTAGATCTATGAGTTAAATGATCATTGATTTGTGAGAAATACTTAGAGGTGAAAGTTCACTTGTATATCAGATAATCAATTTAAAATCAAAGTCAAGAAGAAACATTCCTATAGTGCCCAAATTCTGTAAGAGATTGTTATCTGAAGTGAGTTAAATCAAATTTAACTTTTTCAAATAATGCAATAAATAACTTTAAATCTGCCTATTTGTATATTGATATCATTTGAGAAATTGAGGAAGACATAGCACTGTGTTAATTACTTAATTATTCAGAATCTTTGAGGGCTATTACACATTCTTAAAGTCAGCAATTCTTCATTTTTGACTCATGTCGTAAGAGATAGCTAAATAATCTTTTGACTCATTGCTAATCAGCCAGATAGTAGCTAGACAACTCCCACTATAGGAGATAACAGATGGGTTGGGGCTGTTTATAAAGCTTAAATTAAAATCAGTTTTTAAAGAAAAAAATTAGCTCATGGATTCCTGTATGTAGCCTTGGCTATATTCCTTAGACATTACTTAAGTAGATCTTATTTGATGAAGGGGCTTCTAAATCAGAAGTATCATGCGTTTGACTTTGTCACCACAATCAAACCTACTATTTTTACTCTTCTTTTTTCTCTCCCTTTTATAACCACTGCCATGGACAATGACAGCTGGCCTTAATCTTTTAGTCATTGGATTAAAGCCTGTAAATTAGTATTGAATGCAAATATAAAGATTAAGAAGGTCACTGTCAATGTTACTAAGCATTTGCCTGACTGCTATTGTTCTGCTTCCTTCTCATGAGACACTCCAGAAGTAAATTTCTAAAAGTCAGTATGACAAGACCATGAAAATCATGATTACCTACTTTTACCCATTTGGATTAATATAAGGTCTTATAGATTAATTTAGGAAAAGACTATTAGTTACCATAATACTAACCAGTAAATGCAATCTATTTTCATAAGAGTTTACAAATAACAAATGCTTACTAGTTCCAAACTTGATGCTAAGAACTTTATGAATGTTATTTAATTTTTCAAAACAATTCTATCAGCTTGGTATCATCCCTATAACAATAGCTTTGAGAGATTCAATAATTTGCACAAGATGACCCATTTACAAGGGATTTGTAGTTGCCCATCTGATTTCAAAGACTGATCTCTTGATCACTACAATGTACTATCAAGAGTAACCATGTTTCAAGTGACTTTTTGTTGTTTCAGGTAGAAAGTTATACTAGTATCTGCTAGCAACATGAATACATTTTAAAAGAATGAAGGACAGTGTGCACGGGTGTTTAGAAAAAGGGCTTATTTAGTAATGTAGACCACCTGAGCTGGAATTCCTTTAACAATACCATGCAATTCTATACCTGAAGACCAATTTTAAGACAGGAGAACCCTATGTACATATTTAAATTCATCAGGGACCCTTAAACATCTTTGAATACCACAAATCACTTAGCTGTTGGTGACAAACCTATGGGAAGGCTGACATTTTCATACAGAAACAGCTGGGTATGTTTATAGCTGGAGTGTGATATGCCCCAGTTGCCCTCTGGGATTCTTATATTACCAGATGAAAAATGTGTACCTTTTTGACAATCAGGTACACAGAAAGCAATAAAAAGTCTTTTATATCCATTAATTCCTTCTTAATTTAATCTCCATGCCCAATCCATTTACAAAATGCTCCAGGCTTTCTACTAGATACCTGTTTGCACACTGAAAAGGAGTGAAACTAAATTCTCCTAGGCTTAGCTACCACCCTTTTAATCAGAAACCTTAAGATGGTGATTAAACAAGTATAATGTTCCAGTGTATCAATGGGGTCCAAATTTTAAGACAAGGAATGTACAATCTGACTTTTAATGGGATACTGATCTTTTTTCTATATTCATCAAAGTTCCCATGAATTTAGCAAAATACTATTACTGCCCATCTGACAATATTTTGTTTTTTGTTGGTGACTTTGTTATTGTGAGAATATTTGATAAAACTCAGTGAAAGAAACACATTGCTTTACCATTCAGTGCTCAAAGTCTTTGCTTTCAACAGCTGGCGCTCAATCCAGTTGGGCTTTTGCTGCTCAATGCTCTGTATGACCTTTCGGACAATTTGATTAGGGCTACTTGTCTGGTCTCCCATGATGCTTTCCAAACACACACAAATTAAACCAAGTTTTTCTTTACTCCATCTGTCAAGGGAGGCACCTGTTAAAAGTTCCACAGTATTTCCATCCTCAAATATCCGACATATAATTACAATCAAGTTCCAGACAAGCAGGCCAGCTTTCTTCAATTCAACAAAACTTTTTGACATTTTTCTCTCAGACAGAAAAAAGAAGTATTTTATTGAGGGAGGCAAACATGCAATCACCGTAGGTAACTTGCTGATTACAATAGCTACTGCCTGAGTAGCAAGCCTTGTGAAGCCTGGGGAAGAAAAGAAAGAAAAGGTATGATTAATATTAGCATTTGCATCCCATCACTGCGTGATTTTGTGTTGTGTGGGGATGTCTAATTTTTGTGGAGAAAATTGTTGAGAAGAGCAAGTACTTGGCATACTCCAACAGAATTCTACCGGGGTTTCATGCAGTACTACCTCAAATTACAAATCTGGTTCTCCCACCATAAATGAAGATTTAAATTCACAATTACAATGGATATTTTTATCTTTTAAGACTGCAGCTTTGAAGGACCCAAATGTCCTCCTAGTCAACAAATGCAAAGGCGTCCTACTGGACCCCTTTTGTAGCCTTTGATACTTCTGACTTCCCCTTTCTCTTCCTCTCTTTGAATCTGTGACAGAATCACCTTAGCTCTTCCCAGGACAGGACTGGCTTTTCTTCTTTAGTACTTAGCTCACAGTCGCGTCCTCAGAGAGCCTTGCCTCATCATCCCATTGAAAGCAGTCCCTTCATGTCCTTTCCATCCCTGCCTCAAGTCCCTCTCTATCAAGGGACTCCCATTTTATTGCCTTTGTTATAGCACTTCCCACCATCTAATACTATCTGCTTTACCTGTTTATTATCTGTCACCTTCCACTAGGCCTCCATGAAGATATTACTGTATCCCCAGCACTAAGTGCCTCATATATAATAGTTGTTCAGTAAGTAGTTGTGGAATAAATGAGTCGATAAACTGGCTTGTGTTTGCTTCTATTGCTCCTCTTTGCTTTTTTGGGTCCATTGCTATTTCCACTTTCTACCAACACCTGTTAGATGTGGGAATAACTTCTTGGCCTTTTGGCTCATGATTCTACATGCTCTTCTTTGCTTAGTGCTATTTCTAGGAAAAATGCCTGGATCCTCCTCTAGATCAGGGTTTCTCAACTTCAGCACTATTGCTGTTTGGGACTGGATACATAGTTCTTTCTTGAAAGGAGCTGTCTCGTGCACTGTGGGATATTTAGCAGCATCTCTGGCCTCCACTCACTAGATGTCAATAACATCCCCCTCAATTTGACAACCAAAAATGTCTTCAGGCACTGGCAATTGTCCCCCATGAACAAAATTGTCTCTGAGGGAGAACTACTCTTTTAGATGATATCAGAATCTTAATTCTTGGCCTTTCTCCAAAGTTGCAGTCGTACAACTCCAGATCCCTGTTGGGCATTCCACTTCTCTCTCCTAGTCACCATTACTTTAATATAACTAAAACTAAACTCACTGCCTTCCAAACTGGCTTGAACCTCCTTCCCCTGCCCTCCCTTCTTTCTTTCCTCTCTCTGTCCCACTTTCTTTCCTCCCTCTTTCTTCTTCCTTGCCTCCTTCCCTTTCTCCCTTCCTTTTAAACGTTCCTATTGATCCTTCATACACAAGCAGTGATCAGCACTGATAAATCATCCTACCTCTTTATCTCTGACACCCAGTTTCTCCTTTCTGGGACCAACCTAAGTTACTGACTTAGTGCCCTCACAAATGACACCTGGACAATGGAAGTAGTCTCCAAACTCATCTCCCTGCTCTAGGCTATGTCCAGCCCCTTCCCTACACTGTGAAACCAAATCCATATACTATGAATTTTAGTATCCAATTTCTCTGCTACAATTGTTTTAGACATTTTCCACTGTTACGAGATATGTTTCTTGAGCTTGCTGTCAAAACACTCCACAGTCTAGCCTCAGCCTGTTTCTAAGAACCATCTCTTCAGACCTTCAACATGCTTTATTTTTTTAGGCTTCTGAATATCTCACTACTCTCAGTAGAATGCCCTCTGTCATCAAGATTCACCCATACTCTTCACTTTTAGTTCACAGTTCTCTCTCCTTTTATGAATGTATTTGAATATATTATCTACAAGATCATTTTGGAAATTAGATCCTAAATGGGTGATATTGTGTCACTTTTTGTATTATCATATTTTATTTATACTATGTTATCTATACTTTTCTGAGTTGTCTTTACATCTAGAAAAAAGATTCAAGAGTATGGGGTTGGATATCACTTAACTATCTGAGTATCTCACAAAGCCAGACAGTGTTTTAATCCACTGTGGACATAATTGAATTTGAGCACTGAAGCTGAGAGAGAAGTCAAAAGAAAGTAGCTTTGCATTCTTCAGTAAAACATTCTTTAATGTTTTTGCTGAACCAAAATAAAAAAACAATGTGAAATAATTTTCAAGATATTCATAACACTTAAAAGTCACTCTGTTCCAAAAAAAGTACAAAGCTCTGAGAACAATATATGTCTAATCTAGTGATTCCTCTGAAATTCATGACAACTTAATCATTTTAAAAATTAATTAAAGCAGTCTTATAAATAGTTTGTAAAAATTTGGGTCAACATATTTGAAAATTCTGATAAGAATATTGTGGTATTCAGTAAGATCATAAATGTAAAAGTACCTAGTTCAGCACTTGGTAAAAACAGTTCTTCAATCAATGTTTTCTTGAATAATAAATATGTTTAGGTGAGGCTTAAAATATGGAAGAAGTAGATTAAGTAACTCCCTGCGACCTCTCTTCTTTGTGTTTTAAAATTATTTTAAATGTCTTATTTTTCTTTGTGTGTTTGTGTCTCATAATCCTTATATAGTGCCAAGTATTTGACTTGAAAAATTGTATCTTATAGTACTTGTGTCCTAAGGAGGATTTAACCACTGATACTGAGCAAATATTTGAAGATGTAAGTAGATATTAGGTAAAAATTACCAATTTTCTTCTGCATATCTGTACTCTATAAACTCTGAATCCTCCAGGTACTCAAATCCCTAACTATGTCATTAAACCTTAAGGCAAATTTCAATCAGATCCTTTAGGCTGATGACAAATTAATAAATCCATTCTATTAACCACAAGGGCTCTGAGTCTAGGATGATGCTAATAGCAACACACCAGGGAGGAATCTTTTAAGGCTGATATACACTCACTAATTTTTCATCTTGATTAAAATATGTTGACTTCTATCTAAGCCATCTATAAGTATTATATTGTAAGAACCATCCCAATTTCAGAGATGATAAAATATGGGAAAAAGTATGTCTTAGGATAAATGCAATATGATATATTTATATATTCATTATTTATTTGCTTCTATAACTGTACTACTATAAGAACATATTTATAGTTTATTAAAAATGCAAAAAAGTTATAATAAATGAGGTAATGAATATAATGTCTTAAAATTAATTTGTAAAACTGTGTTTATTAGTGGTATAAAATATCAATAATAATTTGTTGAGTGGGGATAATGTGATTTAATATGCTTTATTATTTTAAAAATCTGGGCTTAACACTTCACAATACAAAGGTCAGGCTCTAAGTTCAGTTTGATTCAATACCAGGTTTTAATGGCTGTCATAGGTGAAAAAGCCACTACATGAACATGTATAGATCCACATGGAACAAGTATATTATTAGCTGTGCTTACAATCACAGTAATTCTTTTTCAGCCTTAACTGTCAAAAAGGCAAAGGCTGTTGTTGCAATTTGACTAACAAATATCCATCATCCAGGAAGTCAGTTAGTTGTTCTTGCAAATAAATTTAAAAATATTTCATTTATACATGTGTCTATATGTATATATTTTATATATTATATAATATATTTTATATTATTTTAGCATGGTATAGTATATGTAATATAATATATATTATAAAAAATATATATATTTTTAAATTGAGGTAGGGTCTCACTCACAGCTCACCACAGCTTTGAGCTCCTGGATTCAGGCCATCCTTCTCTGTGTCATCATGGCCAGCTAATTTAATTTTTTATGTAGAGATGAGATCTTGCTATGTTGCCTGTGCTGGTCTTGAACTCCTGGGCTCAAGCAATCCTCTCACCTTGGCCTCCCCAAGTGCTAGTATTACAGGTGTGAACCACTGCATCTGATCTCATTTTTATATTTTTAAGAAAAAGGTTAAAAAATAATTGAAATTCTTCATTTGGAATGTTTAAATCATATTAGAAAATTTCTAAGTTCTTACGTGTGCAGATACAATATTTTTATAGGTGATACTGATTTTGATAAAACAAATATCTCTGGTTTTTATAAAATAAATTATATTAATGAGGACTAAACTCTGACTTTTTTTTCCCTCTCTCTCTCTGTCCAAATTCCTAGCTAAGGAGCTGGGGAATCATACCCTACAAAAACTAATCAGATGATTTTTATTCAACCCTATATATTGAGGCTTGCTTTCCAACCTGACTGTGACATAACATCACATAACGGATAAAAAAGAAAATCAAAGTGTTTTATAACCCTGTAAAATTGTCTCTGGGAGACTCCCAGACGCTGGGCACCTTTTAAGACACTCACCACCTATCCTTTCTGAAGTCTGCCACCCATGGGGCTTCACTACACATCAAGAAAGTTCACTTCCTCATAATTCCTCAAGCCACCCATTTTTTTTACTGGTAAGAGCCTAATTCTTGCTACTAATTGCCAGTCAGGAAATCTTTGAATCCACCTGTAACCTATAAGAACCTTCCCCACCCTTGGAGATGTTCCGCCTTCCTAGGTCGAAACAACGTAAATCTTACATGAATTGATTTACAATTTTCCTGCAACTTCTGTCTTCCTAAAATGTATATAACCAAGCTACAATTCAACCATGCTAGGCACATGTTCTCAGGACCTCTTGGGACTGGTGTCCCAGGCCTAAAGTCGCTCAAACTTGGCTTAAAAAACCCCCATCTTAAATATTTTACAGAGTTTGGCATCTTTTGTCAACTTTAATGGCTTCTGGTAGCACTTTGT